GCAGCAGCAGAAGCGGAAGTGGCGAGGAAGAATCTCGAGTTGTTGCTGCTGCTGCAGCAGCAGGGGGAAGTGTTGCAGCATTAAGAAGCAAGACGGAGTGCCCGCTGTCTTCTTCTTGTCTGCCTTTTTATTGTCTCTCTCGCAACCTTCATTCTTTTTTGAGAAGAGATTCATTTGTCTTGCAGGAAGAAGCACTTCAGCAGGAGCTGCAGCGCCACGCCTGGCCCGAGCTGCTGCTGCAGCAGCAGCGAGCGCAGGCGGAGAGTGCATCCTCTGCTGCTGCTGCCGCTGCTTCTCCTGCTGCTGTTGCTGCTGCTGCTGCTGCTGGTCGTGCTGCTGGGGAGCTTGTTTATTCTCCTTATCCTCGTGGCCCCGCTCTCAACTTGCCTCTCTCGCTGCAGAACCCTCTACCTGCGCATGTGCTTGAGGGCCTCAGCAGCAGCAACTGGAAGCGGCTGCTGTGCGGTGTTGCTGTTAACGGAGTTATTATTGCAGACCTTCTAAGACACTGGGAAGTCCCCGTGATGCAGCGCATGCGAGAGGCACAAGAGACGCAACAGCAGCAGCAGCAGCAGGAGAGACACGGGGACGAAGACACCAGGGATCGGGATCGGGATCGGGATCGGGTGTGGGGTGGTCAGGGAAGCAGCTCACGCTTGCTTGTCGACGACCTACCTGAAGACCCCCCTGGCCCCGTGGCTGAGGAGCTGCAGCGGCTGCTGCTGCTGCTGCAGCAAACACAATTGCCGCTGAATTTCTCTCTCTTCGTTAATGTGCAGCAGCGGCAGCAGGAACAGCGCCGCATGCAGGCAGAGAGACAGCAGCTTCTAGACAGCATTGCAAAAGCAATGCGCCAGCGAACCTAAACAATAACTTCTCTTTTCTTCTTTTCTTCTCGTCTTCTAATGTTGTGCTGGTTTATACCTTTTCTGTGTCTTATTTATGCATATACATATGCATATATATATATATATATGCGTGTGAATAGGTTTATAAACTATATATATAAATATAAATATAAATATAAATATATATATAAATATATATATAAATATAAATATAAATATAAATAATATATATATATATATATACGAGCAGGTGGTTGTTACTGCATGTGCTTGCATTAACAAGAACCATGATACAACGCCCTTTCTTTAGCCTTGCGCTACTTGCATTTCCGCCG